TGTGCAGGGTCACACAGGGCAGTGTCACACATGTGCAGTGTCACACATGTGCAGTGTCACAAACGTGCAGGGTCACAAATGTGCAAGGTCACAGAGCTGTGCCTGACCTCACCCTGCCCCTCCTCCTCCTACACTTTGCCTTGGAAACCCCAAAAATCTGAATTCTCGAGCCCTCCCAGTCCAAGAGCCATCACCCCACTCCTCTCAGGGTCCTGGGGGGGCACTCCCAGCTTCCAGCAGGGATTCTCTGCAGGGAGGAGAGACCTGGCACCATTTCCACGGGCACCACCTGTGCCCTGTGCCAGCTCACCTTCCCTGTGTGCCAGCACAGACCCGGGCCCACAACGAGACTGTGTGCTGAGTATTAGGCAGGCTAGGAAGTTATCACTTTAATAACTATAAACATTCATTTATTGCTTCGTTACCCAGCATTAGAGCTGGGCCCATCATTTACCAGGAGCTCGTTTGAGCTGCTCTGCACTCCCAGCCCGTTCAGTGCCAGGGACACCCAGCAGGGCCAGGGGGGAGTTCTTCAGGACAAGGGCATCACATTCCTGCTGGGAATAATGCCAGCTTTCCCAAAATTATCATTTCTGTTCACCCAATACCAAGAGGAGCTTCCTCAGGACAGGAGCATCACATTCCTGGTGGGAATATTGCCAGCTTTCCCAAAATTGCTCATTTCTGCTCACCCAATACCTTGGAATTCTGGTGCAGAGAAGGGCTGGACTAATCTGGAGATTGAGGAGAATTCCCCCTGAGTGGATCCCTAAGGGATGGGAGGGAGCCCAGCACAGAGCCAGCCTGGCAGAGCCAGCAGGAACCCCCCAGTGCCCAGAACTGCAATGATTCACTGGATTGCAGCTGCTAATTAATTTCATTTACAGGAGGAAGGAAAGAGTTTGGAGTTTGCACAGAGGCTGGACAAATGGCTCAGCCCAGCCCTCCCAGTAACGAACTGGGAAGGATGAGGTTGGCCAGGAAACATCTGGGAAATGCTGGAACACCAAGGCCAGGTTGGCCATTGGGGCTGGGAGCAGCCTGGGACAGGGAAGGTGTCCCTGCCATGGCTCTGAGGTCCCTCCAAACCAACCCAGCCTAAGATTCCCTGAGGATTTTAGGCTGAGCTCAAGGGTTTAATGGGAATAACCCCAGGACCTCATCACTTCCCCCAGCACTGAGCCCTTGCCAGGTTCTGTGGCCACTCTGGGCCAGTCTCTGCTGCAGCAGGAGCTGTTTCCTGCCAGCCCCACCCTGAACCATCACTGATCCTGCTCTAAAGCCTGGCTCAAGCAGCAGCCCCTGCTAAGGAGGGACTGACAGGCACAGACAGAGCTCAGACACAAAGCTGGCACCGAGCTGGGCTTGACACACAGCACGGAGGTGCTGGGAGGAAAAAGGCTCAGTCACTTCCCAGCTGCTCCGTGGCAGCCTAAACCACCACATTTAAACCCTTAAATAATGCTGAGAGCCAGGGAACAGGTGGCAAATGGATTCTATGGCAGATGGTGCCTTTTTTAATATTTGTGCTCACTGCTAATTTACAGAGTCCATAACCACAGACTCATCTCTTACCTTCTTCACTCCTCCCATTAAAAACCTGCATGTGAGGAAAATAAACACCCACTTCTTTATGCATTAGCTGCAGAGGGGTGTTAGAGATTACCAGACACCCCATTCCTTAATTACTGCAGGTAAGTGCTGGTGTTTGCAAAGTTTAGTGCATTTAGGGTTTCCTGGAGACAGAATTCAGAGCACAGGAAGATGCAGCACAGTGAGGAGCTGCATCTCCACAAGCTCCTGTTTAGTCTTTATGTTAAACCTGGCACAAAATCCACACTCACAGCCAGGCTGCCATGAAATATTTAAGGGAACATTTGCCTGGGAGACGCACGAGCAGCACCACCAGTAGATGCGAAATTAAAGAAAGGAAATAAAAGCAACGCTAACCCAAAACGGGGCTGAAATGGCATTGCTGGAACCTTCTCTCCATTCACCTCGCTGGTGTGAGAGCAGAGAGCACAGAAATGTGGGGCCAAGGCCCCTCTCAGTGCACAGAGCCTGAGCTGGAGCCTTTCCAGGCACACATCACTCCATGGACAGGCTCCTCAAGCTCCAGGATTTGATTCCATATAAAACAGCGTTTTATGTTGCTATTAAACCCAGGGGTTTTTTTATGCTGCTTCTCTCCCATACGTTTATTTGATCATTACAAGTTTTTCTAGGCTCAGCACAGTGACAAAACAATCCCCAAGAGCAGCACAGACTGCAGAGCCAAGGCACAGCAACCTCCCAGCCCAGCCCCATTTGCAGGGACCCAGCTGGGATCCTTCAGAGCATCCTGCAGGGAGAGGCTGCACTGGTTTTCCATTCCCAAAATATCCTCTGCTCTCTCGTAGCTTTGCTTCTGATCTTCCTTCACAAAATGTGAAATGAATTGTATCCAAAATGAATTTTTAAAAATGACCACGGCATTGTGCATGGTCTCAATTCCCCCGAATTCCTGGTGGTTTGCTTCAAGGGAATTCCAAGGAATTTCCTCTGTGAGGATGGAAAAGGAGCAGAGCCTGGATCCTCCCCTGCCCTGTGCCCTTCCCACACCTCCCACCTCGTGTTACCACCCTGCTGTTCCCAAAGGTACTAATTAGGCTGCCAGAAATTAATTGCAAGGCTGCAAAACCAACCATTATCAAAGGCCCAAAAAAAGAAATATTCACTCCTAAGACTATTGATCGAGCAAATCCCTGTGACTGGAGACACAGAACTACACAAGGCAGGAGTAGGACACTGATCTCTAAAAGAATCAATTAACAGGGGATAATCAATTAACTGAGGCAATCACACACACAATGCTCAGCCTTCCAGGCACCAATAAACATGGAGATTGAAGCTGGAAATAATTTAATTTGGGGGTTTTTAAAGTTCATTGCTGCTGTGTGCCCATGGCCTTTCATAAACCTCAGACGAGGGGAACGTGGGAAGGTCATTAAGGTCACAGGTCATTAACCCCAAAGGTCATTAACCCCAAAGGTCATTAACCCCAAAGGTCACTTTTTAGGTCAGGGGGAGGAATTCCTTCCCAAGTGACCCTCCTGCAGTTTAAACCTTGTCCCATCACATCTGGCCCCAGCCTGCAGCTGTGGGCTGCATTTCAGGTTTCTGCCCCTGCTTTTCCCCCCCTTCCTCAGCCCTTTCTGCCAGCCCAAGGACACCACACAGGGGTCCCTGCCCCGGGGGCACCCCAAGGCTCCTTCCCACCCTGCCAGGGCAGCTGTGACAAAACCCCAACCCCTTCCATCCAGCACAGTAGGATGAATCCTATAAACCTGTTTTATGGCAGCTCTGCAAAGGCCCAGCCTTCCCCCAGGGATGGGGATAACAGAGAAAAACAAGGAGCTGGGTTTCAGCTTCATTGCTCACATGCCAGGCATTCCCAAGTTTTTTTTCCCAAAAAGCTGCTCTCCATGCAGCAGAGTGTGGGACTGCCATGAGTGATTGATAAAGGGATGAAAATTATGGCTGGGGCATTCAGAGTGTGCTGTTTCATGGCCCATCACACACCCTGGCACAGCACAGGGACAATTCAGGGACAATTCTCCTGGCCTGGTTTGTTGTCACAGAACCCAGGAAGTTCTGGAGGGACAGAGATTCCTGGAATGACAGCACCCAGCTCCTCCCCACACTCCACTGAGAGCACGTCTCAAATGTAATCCTATTTTTTGGGTAAACAGGGATTTTTTTTCCTCCTTTGGTTCCTCCTCTAAAACACTTCTAAAAAGGAAAAATGTTTTCCAGGAGCCAAAACGGATTTTCCATGGGAAGCAGCACCAGCTCCTGCCCCACAGCAGCATGAATTCTGCTTTCTGCTCTAAATTCAGCCTCTTTGGGTTAAGTACAAAACATTTTCAATCATTCCACAGAACCCCTGAGGCTGGAAAAGCCCTCCAGGATCATCCAGGGCAGGCTGTGCCCATCCCCACCTTGTCCAGAGCACTCAGAATCCTCCAGGAATTGCTGGGACACTCCAGGGATGGGGATCCAACCCTCCCTGGGCACTTCCAATCCCTGCCCACCCTTTCCATGGGGAAATTCCTGCTGCTGTCCCCCCTGAGGCTCCTTTTCCTGCACCTTCCCTCCTCTGGGTCCGTTTTCTCTCCCCACCCTGGTGTTTCTGCAGGTGACTGCCCTGACAGCTGGGCAGGAATGAGAATCCCTGGATCCATTTCTCATTAAAGCTCTCCCATCAAACCACAACTGCACCTTCTGCAGAATCCAATCTCCCTGTGCCTTGCTGTGCTACACCTCAATTACCAAAAAGACAGAAAACACACCCTCATTTACATTTTAAACTTAATTGGCAGATAACTGCTCTAAAAATAGCCTCAAGTGCAGGTACAAGCATTGCCCTGAAGGCTCCCGGTGAGCCCGAGCTGCCCAGGCAGGCAGGGATGCCCCAGTGCCTCCTCAGCTGCCACCTGCAGAAAAGTTTCACTCAACAGCCAGAAAAGAGCGATTATTCCAGGCAGCAATCACCTCTCAGCCTCTGGGAAAAGATCCCGGCTGTGCTCTCCCAGCAGGTTTGTAACTACAAACACTCAGAGGATCTGCTCAGGGTTCATTAAATATTATCCCACATGGAACAGACACCTCTGAGTGCCCATTTCAGCTCCAAACACCCAGAGGATCTGCTCAGGACTTTATAAAATCTTATCCCACATGGAGCAGACACCTCTGAGTGCCCGTTTCAGCTGAGGCTGTGCTGCTGGGGTTCAGAGAAGCTTTTCCCAGCTGAGATGAGGGAGGAGCCAGCTCAGCCACCCCTAAATGTCACAGAGCCATCCATGCCCATGACAAACATCCACGGAGCTCTGAAGGCACTCCTGGCTCACAGTCCCAGAAAACACCTCCAAACTGCTCCAGAAGCCCCAAATTTAACCCCAGCAGTGCCCAACCTGTGCCAACACCCTGTGCTGCCCAGGGCTGCTCCCCAGGGACCTTACCTGGGAAGGGCGAGGCCAGCAGTGGGACTTTGATGGGGGACAAGGTGAGGAGGTGGCAGGGCTGGAGGCTCGGCCCCGGGGGACCCTGGGGGGGCTCGGGCTCCAGGGACACCAGGGCCAGGCTCTGGGTGCCACCCATGGCTTTAAGGCTGTTCTGGCAACCACCTGTGGAGAGACAGAGAGACACGAGTGTGAGCAGGAGGGGAGGGCAGGGCTTGGGGGAATGGTTCTGCTTCCCAAAAATGGGAATTTTGGCACAAGGTGGGACAAGGTGCAGCACGTCACACCCAGCCCCGTGTGCCCCCTCAGAGAGACCCCAGAGCCTGAGCTGGTGTTCTGTGGAATTTATGTGTTTGTTGTGTTCAGTCCTGGTCTGCAGAGCTCAGGGATCACAGAATCATTTACGTGGGAAAAGACCTGCAGGGTCATCAAGTCCAAATC